CCTCGAAGATGCTCCTGGGTGGCTGGAGATCTCTATCAGGTGTCTCAGCATAGCACAGAACCTGTGAACACTATTAGACTGTCTTTAAGTAAATTTTCTAACTAGACTGGACTGTAAGGAGTATTTGTCAGGAATTCTGGATTTTGTAAGAAATGTCTACTCGTCAAGTAGATTCTGAAAAGCCAAATCACCTCAACAAGGCAAAGCCTGGGGTTCTGCACATGCTATTGCTGCTCTAGTCTGAAAGGATGAGGGCACAGTCACAGGCTATCACCAGAGGCCAGCTACCTCTCTGTTCTCACTCAAGACTGCTCATCGCTACCAGGAATGATTTCATAAAGACAGGGCAGGGGAGAAGCCAGTCCATTATCTGCTATCACAGTGTCAGAGACACTTAAATTTCCACAGTGTTCAACCAGACTGGCTGCAGAAGGGCAGAATCAGTGCAGAGCAGGCCATGATTTCCACGGCTGAAAGGCCTCTGAAATCCCTTTCCTAAGGTTAGTTATTAGAGCACATAAACTTAGTAATACTCAATGATATCCTCAAGAAACAATGAACATCGGTGAATATAAAGGTCACTATTTCAGCTACATTTCACAGTAATCCTTGACTGGGCAGGATGATTCTCAAAAGCAAGCTGCCAACGGAGCTCTGGTGGCCTGGTGGCAAGAAGCTGTGCTGCAATCCCAAAAGCGCACGGTTCGAATCCACTAGATGCTCCTGGAGAAGGAGCAATCTCCTCCTGTGCCAGTCGGATCTGATAGGATTGTACACAACATTAAAAAAAAAGCAAGCTAACTCTCAGATGCACTTCTCCAAATTAGCCTGCAGGTGGTGCTATTCTCGGACAAACATTTTTCCTGTTATGGACACTTGCTACCAAAAACAAATTAAAAATAAACCCACTACCGTCTAGTCAATTCCAACTCATAATGAGCCTCTACCAGGTTTCTAAGGCTGCAAATCTTCACAAGAGTGCCTCACCTTCACACTTGGAGCTCCCACTGGATTCGAACTGTTGATCTATCTATTAGCAGACCTGCACATAGCATAACAAGCATTAGGTTAAGTTTCCCTTCTTTCTGAGAAGTTTTAAAGAAATTAGATATTCCATACTGAAAGATGTAGCAGTCTGGTGAAGTGTTTTCAGATGGAGAAGAACACACATCAGTGCGAGTTCCACGGCAGGAAGAAATTAACTTGAGAACAAGGTCACTGCCAAGCCTCGTGGCCCAGGTTCAGAGAGCACAGGATGACTATCCACATTCACTGTTCTCTAACACTGGGTTTCTGGTGACCAGAGTAAACTCTCCTCTCCTGGCCATAAGGATAGTGTCTCTGAGCACTTCAGGTAAAAGTTGGCTATGGCCAACTAAGTCTAAAATTGGAGAGAAGAGCCCAGTGAATGTGGAAACCAAATGTTTTGAAGATGGAAAATGAAGCAGAGACACAAAACTGAGGAAGATGCAAAGCAGGTGTCCAGCAACAACAGGGTTTGTTTGCAGTGGCTCTGACAGCAACCTGAAGGGAACTCTAGTGGGATAGCTCACAGGGAGCTATGCTGCTCTCTCAAAAGCAACGCCCCTCTGGTGCTTCCGATCCACCCCTGGCTCCTCAGGAGAAGAAAGATGGGCAACTTCCAATCATGAGACTTATAGAGTCCAAAAAACACACTGGAGAATTTGCTATGAGTTGGTTTCAACTTGCCAGCAATGGGTTGGTTTCATTTGGCTTTAGCTGGAGATATATATATATATATATGTTATTTTTTTAACTGTACAACAGAATGAAGCCCTGCCTGGTTCTGCCTCCCAATCTCTGCTGTACTTAAACCTATTGTCACAGTCACTGTGGCAATCTATCTCACTGACGGTGCTCTGCTTTTTGGCTGTCACTCTGAGCATGTGATCCTTCTCCAAGGGCAATCCCTCCTGATAATATGCCCAATGCATGTGAGAAAAATCTCCCCATGCTTGCTTCTAAGAACACTCTTCTTGTTGTTCTTGTTCTTGCTGCTGTGTACCATCGACTCAGAACTGACCCACAGGCAGGTTTTCAGAGGCAGTTAATCGCAATTGGAGACTGCTCAACTTTCTCCCGTGCAGCAGCTGGTGGATTTGCACTGCATGCCTTTGGGATTGCAGCGCAGCTTCTTGCCACTAGGCCACCAGAGCTCCCTCAGTTTTGAGTCAGTGCCTAGAACCAGCAATTTATCCACTGGGGATTCTTACTTCCCTGAGGCAGAAGGAGGCAAACTAGCAAAAAAGGGCAGATGTTTACTTCTAAAGTCTCTGGTCTATGCCCAATATTTGGCATATAGAAAATGCTAAACCAATGTGGGTAAAGGATGAAGGATAGCATGAAAAGAGTCAGTTCAATGCTGCACCAATAGCATCATGAATTTAAAACCTCTTCAAGTTTGAATTGACTCGGTGACAGCAGTCAGTGGGTTGTTCAGCATGTCAATTGCTTTAAAAACATTTCATTACATAGGAAGATCAGAAAAGAACACAACTGCATACTTTTGTGACTTCTAGTCCAAATAATACTAGCCCCATTCAAGGAATACACATTGAGCATCAGGCTAACCAATGAGGTGTTCACTATAAACAACTTTGTTTAAAGTTATATGTGTATGCTTATTTGGCTAGTTTTCTTTTTAGTTTCTAACAACAAAGAATCTAAAAATCATAGGAATATGTAGAACTAAAAATGTGTAAATTTACCATCCACACTCTATAAGGACATTTAGATTGCCCGCCCTCCCTTAACTAAGGAAGTTGGCCAGACTCATGACTTTCCGTTTTCAAAGCCAACTAACCTCAGAGAAATGGGATGGAATGGTCATCTTTGTTCTAGAAGTGTCCTTGGTTAGAATAGAAAAAACCACACCCAAGCAGGTCTCAGTTGTCTTCAACTGGAGTTCTATTAGGAAAATCTTGGACATTCCAACTTCATCTATTGTCTTCAATGTTATATGAAGATGAGCAAATCTACAAAGTCTCTATCACATGTGTTTTATATTTACATGTGTTTTTAAAAGCTTCTTAAATGGCATTAATACATGTATCTCGATCACTCAGAAAGTTAATGTGAAATATAATCCAAGAAAATCCACCACGTTTTTAAACATTAATTTGCATGTGAAAGTAAGGAGACCATGTCCAGCACTCTTAAGAAGTAGGAGAAGTTCATTTTGCTCCTTCTCTGTTTTTCACTTAATTTAACAAGTAAAAGACTTTAGTTGAACTCCATTGTAAGATCTATTAGTGAAAATTGTCAGGTCAAAGGAAAACTGTACAGCTTAAAGAGAAAATTAACAAGTACACCTTTTTTTTAAACAAAAATCCTTTAAAGGTTTTAAATCTATCCAGAAATCCATCTCAGTATTGAGATTTCTCTGTCTCTTCCTCTAAGTCTGTTCTCTCTCATGCAATAGCATGATGATAAAATAATAAAGTAAAATTATAATGTTGTTGTTTGTTGTTGTTATGTGCCGTCAAGTCGCCTGTGACTCATAGCGACCCTATGTACAACAACCCTAAGCTCTGCTCTGTCCTGTGCCAATCGCACTGTCTCCGACACCCCCATCCCAATTATCCCAGTCACTGAATCAATCCACCTCATAGAGGGCCTTCCTCTCCTGCGCCGTCCCTCCACCCTCCCAAGTAGGATGTCCCTCTCCAAGGACCGGTCTCTCCTCACAACATGTCCAAAGTATGTTAGACGGAGCCTCAGAATCCTTGCCTCCAAGGAGCCACCTGGTTTAACCCTTTCCAGGACAAATCTGTTTGTTTTCCTAGCAGTCCATGGTATTCTCAATACTCTTCTCCAGCACCAGAGCTCAAAGGCATCAATTCTCCTTCTATTCTCCCTGGTCATTGTCCAACTCTCTGATGCATAACAAATGATTGCGAAGACCATGGCCTGTATCAGACGCACCTTAGTCTCCAGAGAGACACCACTGCTCTTCGGTACTTTGGAGAGGTCCCTAACAGCAGACTTTCCCATTGCAGAGCGCCTTTTAATTTCCTGGCTGCTGGTGCCAAGACTGTTGACTATGGAGCCAAGCAAACTAAAGCTGTGTACAATCTCAATCTCTTCACCATCCATCCTGATGCTGCCAATTGGTCCAGTGGTGAGAATCTTTGTCTTCTTGACATTGAGCCTCAATCCATATTGTAGGCTGCAGTCCTTGATGCTCTGCATCAGGCGCTTCAGGTCCTCTTCAGTTTCAGCAAGCAGAGTTGTGTCATCCGCATAACGCAGATTGTTGATAAATCGTCCACCAATCTTGGAACCCACATTTCTCCTCATAGAACCCAGCCTCCCGGATAATCTGTCCTGCATATAGGTTGAAAAGGTATGGAGATAGGATGCATCCCTGGCATAAGCCCTTCCCAATTTTGAACCATGCAGTGTTCCCTTGCTCTGTTCTGACAACTGCCTCGTGGTCCAAGTATAAGTTTCGCATTAGAACGATCAAGTGTTCTGGGATTCCCATTCTTCTCAGAGGCAACCTGCTATGTCTGTAAAAGAAAGCAGCAAGCACTCCTCACATACACACACCTGCCCCTTTAACTCATTTTATTTTCTTCTTATTATATCTTGTGTGTGTATGTGTGTGTCCATATTTGTGTATTTATTTAGTGTTTATCTTGCCTCACTTCCCATGCACTAAAATACAAGTTTGATGTGAACAGAGATTTAATTTGTTCTGTTCACATGCATCTTCAGTGTCTGGATTACAGAAATTCAGGAAATACATTTTAATTCATTAATTAATATTTCAGATCCGGGACTCATGCAGATCAACTCTGGAGTCGAAGTTCTTAACCACCTCCCTTCCTAGACAGAGGATTCCAGGGTGAGGGTGAGGGGAGCTTAATTTAGGTGAGTTCTGAGATAATCCAGAGGCAACAGCACAGGCGAGTATCTACAAAGACCCCTGTAACATGGCTTGAACGCTAATTGTTTCATTTCTGTCTCAAACTTACCTTAATTTGGATACTAAGAGAGGTTTTGTAAGGTTTGAAATCTGAGAAGAGTGTAATAACACGAAACTTCACTTCTTGCTTCGGCTTGTACAGAGGCTTATCTGTTTGAATGAAGACAGACACCCTCTTGGTCTCAAATGACAGGAGTGTGCTGTTAGAGAATAAGACCGCATTCTCATGATGGCCTGTTACACGGAGCTCAAAGGTCCCATCTGTGGTGTCCAGAGGTAGCTGGGAGAGAGAAAAAAAGAGATCAGATACTAAAATATCATTATTTCACCCAAAAGTTGCTGTAATTACAAGTTAGACTAGAAAACTTGAATACAAAGTATTATAAAAAGTACATACAATGTTGAAAATTATGTTACTATTTCTAAGTAATTCCTAAATTTAACCATTTCCCCCCCCTCATTTTAGATCTTAGAGATTGTTCTCTGCCTAAATCTCCATGTTTCTGGAACACAGAAATGTGTGTGTGTGTGTGTGTGTGTGTGTGTGTGTGTGTGTGTCCCTCATATTCTCTCTCTTTCTCTCTCTCCCTCATTCATTCTCTCTCATCCATTATCTCGCTCCACTCATTCTCTCATATTCTCTCTCTCCCTCATTCATTCTTTCTCTCACCCTCATTCATTCTCTCTCTCCCTCATTCATTCTCTCTCTCTTCCTCATTTATTCTCTCTCTCTTCCTCATTCATTCTCTCTCTCCCTCATTCATTCTCTCTCTCTCCCTCATTCATTCTCTCTCTCCCTCACTTATTCTCTCTCTTTCCCTCATTCATTCTCCCTCTCCCCCTCACGCATTCTCTCATATTCTCTCTCCCTCATTTATTCTCTCTCTCCCTCATTCATTCTCTCTCTGTCCCCCCTCATTCTTTCTCTCCCTCATTCTCCCTCATTCTCTCTCTCTCCCTCTCCCTCTCCCTGCAGCAGTCACCATACCATTTTCCATTCCAAGTGAAAATTCTTCTACAATTAACATCCGCCATGAGACAGCATATAAACGAAGCATTGACAGACTAGTGGAATCCCAAAGGCTAAGCACTTAGACTACCTCCAAACTTAGAATTCAACCTACTCTCAGAGACCACCTTACATTCATTCAAGCAGCAGACAGATACAGATGTGTAAAGCAAACAACAACACCTAGAATGACTGTGCTTCTTGGGATATTTAACTGTAAGGGACTCAAAGAAAGCATTATCTAAAAGCAAAATTCTAAAGGCAAGAAGGGGCAGGAAATCTGAGCAAATGTAAACAGGAAACACAGGCTATAAGAAGGGAGAACACTGGCATATTGAAAGAACTGTAACCAAAGAATTGTAACCCATTTTATCATGAAATAATCTCTACATTAAATTGTTGAACAACAAACTAATTTGCTCTGTAAACTTTCACCTAAACCACAACAAAATGTTTCCAAAAAATCTGGTGTGAGTGCTGTATTCCTTTTAGAACAATCTATACAAGATCAAATTGAAAACAATAACTCAAAAGATTAAATAGGAACCTTAGAGGAAAGTGATTTTGTTTTAATGAGGGAAGAACAGCACAGAAAAGGTAAGAATGGTTGTGCAGCTGAAAGAATACAATTAATAGCACTAAATAGTACATGTAGAAACTATTTGGGTTAAAAAAACCCACTCAGCTTCACCTGGATATATTTATGATGAGAAAGAAATTTTTTCTAACACATTTTGTACTAAAAAAAACCTATCTTTATATATTATCGATTATGTTTTTATTTGTTATTTAAAGTTTACTTTAGTGTATCAAATGTGGAAACAATGTACAAATCAGATATTAAAAACTAATTCTAATGTTACCTCATGAAATATTCATATTTCAAAGCAAAAAAACCCCCATAGCATCTTAAAAAAATTTAAAAGGCTAAATCTATAAAATCAAAACACAGATACACTTTGGTCTATTTTAACTCCATAAAAATGAAGAACTTCCTGGTTTTTTGCAAAGCATTATAAAGAACCCTTATGATAAAGCCTTTTAAAATTTGTTTTACTGACATGAAGGCGTGAACAAGAGTGAGTCAACAAACATAAACACTATAACACACAACCTTGCATTATCCAAAATAAAGAAAGTTAATTTGCAACCAGATATACAGGTAGACAGCCAAGATGATGAGAAAATCATAGGATGTTAGCATTATTATTTCTTATACTTCAAGGAATGATAATAGTCAAATTGCTAGCTAATGACTGGACAAATGCTGTTTATACTATCGTTATTGCATGAAGTTGGGGCCCTTTTCCTGACCATTATCTCTCCTCCTTTGAATACTCGTGGTTTGTGTGACTGTAGACTCCCTGAAGCATCCAAAACGGTTACTGTGCTTTAAGCTATGATTCATGAACTTAAATCTCTCACTGCTTCCACCCCAATTTTTGCATTACAAAAAAATCCTTTCAATCTTGCTTTGAATGCTCTCCAACAGAGCTATACACACAGGCACTGTTGACCAGCATCGAATGTTCTATTGAAGTTGGCTATGGCTTTCCCTGGTTCATGTATTTTTTATGTCCATTTTCCATTACTGTTGTTATGTGTCAGGAAGTTGGAACCAATGCCTAGCTCATCCTCCAGCAAAGGTTTTCAGAGGCTGTAGAACACAGAAGGGGACTGTTCATCTTTTCCCTAAGGAGAAGCTGGTAGATTTGAACCGGCTGTCTTTGGGTTGGTAATACAACTCCTTACCACTAGGCAGCCAGAGCCCCAACTGTAAGCAGTAAGCAGCCTATTTATGAATAAAAAAAGATACACAGTCATGGAATATATTTTTAGAAGACACTGTTGGGGCACATTATATAGTGTAGAAACTCCCCAAAATGAATATGGTTTCTGAATGTGCCTTCAAGAGGTGATGGGAAAAACCTGTCTCATGAGGTAATGCTGAGCTGACTTAAGCATGTAATAATGTTCCAGGGTCAAAACAATTAGTCATCTATTCTTAGAAAAGTACAGCAAATTGCAACTGGGTGGATGCTGTGGTCTAATCTATTGTGCATTAAACTTTGGCAGCCCCAAAACAAAACAGTGTCATAAAGGCAAAGATTTCCAAATCAGAATAAGAAGCTGGATCAATTCACAAAGAATGTTGAGTAATCAAATTGTATGACCCTCCCAACAAAATAATAACCCCTTTTCACTTCTGCAATAAATTTTTTTTATTATTCATTTTAATGAACATTTACAGAGATTTTGGATTTTCATTCATTCATTGTTGCACTTTTCTTCCATCCCAACCCCCCCACCCCCCTCACTCCCAGTTCACTCTTCTCTTTGAAAAGTAAAATTCCTTCATTGATATACAATCCCGCCCCCACACCGCCACCCTGAGTATACTCCACTCTGCAACCTTATTCCAGACTCTTAAGATAATCATGTTGTTGTTGCTATGTGCGGTCGAGTCGCTTGTGACTCATAGCGACCCTACGTACAACAGCTCTAAACTCCGCTCTGTCCTGTGCCAATCACATTGTCTCTGACACTCCCATCCCAATTATCCCAGTCACTGAATCAATCCACCTCATAGAGGGCCTTCCTCTCCTGCGCTGTCTCTCCACCTTCCCAAGCATGATGTCCTTCTCTAAGGACCGGTCTCTCCTCACAACATGTCCAAAGTATGTTAGACGGAGCCTCAGAATCCTTGCCTCCAAGGAGCCACCTGGTTTAACCCTTTCCAGGACAAATCTGTTTGTTTTCCTAGCAGTCCATGGTATTCTCAATACTCTTCTCCAGCACCACAGCTCAAAGGCATCAATTTTCCTTCTCATAATACCCTATAATATATCACTTCTGCAATAAATTTTATAACATCTTTATATCTAATTTCACCTCCAGCATATTCCTAAGGAATAGAGATGGTATCTTTATGCCCTTTTTCGAGGGCCAGAATTAAAGTGAGTGTAGCAAATTTAAGGACAGGCAGCCAAAACCAAAATCAAGATAAATTATATTGAATACAATATTTTCAAATATCAAAATAAATGGATTAAATTAATTATGAACAAAGTATCAAACTTTCTGGTAATGACGAGGTCAGTATCATCACTAGGTCTTTTTACCTTAGGCTCCAAATGAAAGAAATTAATATGAATTATATGCTCAAGATTGTAGGGCTCACCAAGACAGACCTGAGGCCATGCAAAGAGTTCAGGGCAGATTCCCTCAGGGATATCCTTGATTTTACAAGATGAAAATCCCTACTATGAGCCCGGAGACCTTGGGTGATGGAAATAATGAAGTGTTCAGCTACCAGCTAGAAAGGAGGATAGTTTGAATTTACACAGAGGCAGCCAGGAAATCATCTTCAGAAATGTCAGAGCATCGGAAACCCTATGGAGCAGTTCTGCTCTGCCCATCTGGGTGATGTGGGTCTGAATATGTTCAACTAAAACCAGCAAAAAAAGTTGTGCTGTAATCTAAAAGTCACTTGGTTTGAATCCACCAGCTGCTCCACGGAAGAAGGATGGGCAAACTCCTCCTGAGTAATTTACTGCCTCTAAAAACCCACTGGAGCGTTAGCCATGAGTCAGTACACAACAACAGCAACCTGAAATTTAATCTCAAACTGAACTCAACCAAAAATGTAAACTGACCTAAAAACCAACAAAAGTCTAATTTATTTAGTTCATTGATGCAATTTCTCTTTCTGAAACAAAAAAAAACAAACAAACCTTAAAATAGATACTTACAGATGGAAGAACAAGTATCCTAAAAGTGCCTGTAACAAAAACAGAGAAAATGGAATTGTTATCATCTTAACACAAGACTCTATTAATGCTCTTTAGACAGAGATGAATTTGTAAACTTATTTGGTCAAACCAAAATAACTCCAGCAAGGTCCAGAACACCCAAGGGATTATTAAATATCCATGCATCACAGAATTATGGGAATCTGAAAGGGATTAAAAGGAGATGCACCAGTGAAAACACACACAAAAAATCATTAAATTCTACTTTTTTTCATTGTCTGTTATGTTTTGTGTTTTAATAATTTCTGTTGTCATAGCTGCTGTTTTGAAGCTATGCACTGCAGACAGTGGACGGAGGAACTCTGAGATTTATTGCTTGTGGTCTCATACCCACATGATAGAGGAAGAAATGGAATGGATTAGTCACATCAGGGGTGGACTGGGAATCAGAACTGACCGATTAGTATCAGGGTGATGCAGACTCTTTTTCATATAACATTTCTAAACATTGGACTGCTAATTTAATGCATGCCAATTTCTCATCACATCCATTTCTATTTCAAAGGGAGGAAATTTCCATCTAAGCAGTATGATTCAGAGGTAGTGACAGGGTCTTGTTCATTTATTAAGGAATCCTCATGGAATCAAGAATGTTTGGGGTCCTAGATGCTAAATGAACACACACACACACACACACACACACACACACACACAATATTACCACGAGACAATCTTTAAACTCTACACCAAAAGTGTCCTCCGAAGTCTTCTGACAATCAGTGGTACAGTAGATAAAGTGCTGTGTTGCCAACTAAAAGGCCAAGTGTCGCCAGCAACTGACAGCCATCATGACTCAGAATTGACTCAACAGCAAAGAGTTTTAGTTTTGTGTAAAAAATGTCTGCTTTGAGTATCATGATTTTTTTTTAATTCATAATAACATTTTTCTCTTATTGTGATTTAAGCGAAAGTTTACAAAGTACACTGTGGCAATCATTTTGTTTCATGTCATTAACAACATCCATTGGTTCCATATCGTCTTTGTTATCACTCACCTTAATAAGTGTTCATAATAAATTCATTCATTTTCTGCTTCTCTTTTCTCTTCCCTGGTAACCACACTAGAATGATTCTCTAGTGTGTACACTTTTCAATGACTCTCTGTGTGTAAATTTCTCTTTAGCCTTGTATAACAGCAGTATTTTAAGAACTATTCAAGTGGGATCAGATGGACAATTGCTGTTGTTGTTATGCACCATCATGTCACTTGCGACTCATAGCGACCCCCTGTACAACAGCCCTAAACCCTGATCTGTCCTGTGCCAATCTCACTGTCTCTGACTCACCCACCCGTTACCCCAGTCACAGAATAAATCCAACTCACAGAGGGTCTTTCCCACCTGCGCTGTCCCTCCACCTTCCCAAGCATGATGTCCTTCTCCAAGGACTGGTCCCTCCTTACAACATGCCCAAAGTATGTCAGATGAAGCCCCAGAATCCTTGCCTACAAGAACCAGCCCAATTTAACCTTCTCCAGAATGAACCTGTTAGTTTTTTTAGCAGTCCATGGTACACTCAACACTCTTCTCCAGCACCACAGCTCAAAGGCATCAATTCTACTTTTATCCTCCCTAGTCATTGTCCAACTCTCTGACACATATAACTGATTACAAAGACCATGGCCTGTATCAGGCACACCTTAGTCTCCAGAGACACACCGTTGCTCTTCAGTACTTTAGAGAGGTCCCTAACAGCAGACTTTCCCATCGCATTATGTCCTTTAATGTCCTGGCTGCTGGTGCCAAGAGTGTCGACCGTGGAGCCGAGCAAACTGAAGTTGTGAACAATCTCAATCTCTTCACCATCCATCCTAATGCTACCAATTGGTCCAGTGGTGAGAATCTTTGTCTTCTTGACACTGAGCCTCAATCCATATTGAAGGCTGAAGTACTTGACCCTCTGGAGCAAGCGCTTCAGGTCCTCCTCAGTTTCAGCAAGCAGGGTTGAATCATCTGCATACAGGTTGAAAAGGTATGGAGATAGGACACATCCCTGGTATACACCCTTCCCAAATTTGAACCATGCAGTGTTTCCTTGCTCTGTTCTGATGACTGCCTCCTGGTCCAAGTATAGGTTTCACATTGTAGATGGACAATAGCAGCTGGAAAGACTAAGTAGGACACTGAAGGGCAATGAGTTTCTGTCAATGGAAAGCACGATTTTGCAAAGGAGAGTGAGAATGGTTGCCCAACTCAAAGAATGTAATCAATTGCACACTTAGGAACTGCAAACTTGGTTTTCTAAAAAAATATAGTTATTATGCTGAGTGAAATATTTCAATCACAAAAGGACAAATACTGCATAATGCCACTGTTGTAGAATGGTACTGACATCAGGGTTGTGGGGAGATTGAAAAAAGATGGATAAATTATGTATACTGCATTGAAACAGATGAGGGAGACAACAGTTTAAAAGCAATATGTTGTTGTTGTTGCTGTTACGTGGAATCGAGTCGCTAGCGACTCATAGCGTCCTTATGTACAACAGCCCTAAACCCTGCTATATCCTATGCCAATCACACTGTCTCCGACACGCCCATCCCAATTACCCCAATCACTGAATCAATCCACCTCATAGAGGGTCTTCCCCTCCTACACTGTCCCTCCACCCTACAAAGCATGATGTCCCTCTCCAAGGACCGGTCAGTCCTTACAACATGTCCAAAGTATGTCAGACGTAGCCTCAGAATCCTTGCCTACAAGAACCAGCCTTCTCTAACCCTCTCTAGGATGAATGTTTGTTTTCCTAGCAATCCATGATACACTCAATACTCTTCTCCAGCACCACAGCTCAAAGGCATTAATTCTCCTTCTATCCTCCCTATTCATTGTCCAACTCTCTGATGCATAACAACTGATTGCAAAGACCATGGCCTGTATCAGATGCTCCTTGGTCTCCAGAGAGACACCATTGTTCTTCAGTACTTTAGAGAGGTCCCTAACAGCAGACTTTCCCATCGCAATACGTCTTTTAATTTTCTGGCTGCTGGTTCCAAGAGTGTTGACTGTGGAGCCAAGCAAACAAAAGTTGTGAACAATCTTAATCTCTTCACCATCCATCCTGATGTTACCAACTGGTCCAGTGTTGAGGATTTTTGTCCTCTTGATATTGAGCCTCAATCAATATTGAAGGCTGTAGTCCTTGACCCTCTGCAGCAAGTGCTTCAGGCTTCAGGTCTTCCTCAGTTTCAGCAAGCAGGGTTGTGTCATCTGCATAACACAGATTGTTGATGGATCTTTCGCCAATCCTGATGCCACACTTCTCCTCATAGAGCCCAGCCTCAGTGATAATCTGTTCTGCATATAAGTTGTAAAGGTATGGAGATAGGGGACATCCCTGGCATACACCCTTCCCAATTTTGAACCATACAGTGTGTCCTTGCTTTGTTCTGACGACTGTCCCTTGGTCCAAATATAGGTTTCGCATGAGCACGATCAAGTGTTCTGCGATTCCCATTCTTCTCAGAGTCAACCACAGTTTGTTATGATCCAAACGCCTTTGCATAATCAATGAAACACAGATATACATTCCTCTGGTATTCCCTGCTTTCAGCTAAGATCCACCAATATATGGTTATGACAAGAGTCCAGACTGAAGGTTGCATAGTGGAGTGTACTTGGGGGTGGGGGGGATTGTATATCAATGAAGGAATTTTTCTTTTACTTTTCAAAGAGACGAGTTAATTGAGGGGGGAGGGGTGGGCAGGGAGAAAAATGCAACAATGAATGAACGGAAATCCAAAATCTCCGTAAATGTTGATTAAAATTAATAAAATATAGATATAAATACATTTTTAAGAGACATAAACCTAGATTATACACATGGATTTCACCTGATGGTATGCATAGGAATCAGATTGATTACATCTGTGAAAAAAACCACTGGAGAAGCTCAATATCAGCTGTGAAAACTAGGCCAGGAGCTGATTGTGGAAGAGACCACCAACTACTCATATGCAAGTTCAAGCTGAAGCTGAGGAAAATTAAACCGAATCCACAGGAGCCAAA